TAGGGCTTCTCCCCGGTGTGCACCGGCCGGTGCTGGGCGAGGTAGGACCGGCGTTTGAAGGCCTTGCCGCAGTCCCCGCAGCGGAAGGGCTTCTCCCCGCTGTGCGTGAGGTGGTGGCGGACCAGGGTGGAGCTCTGGCTGAAGGCCTTCCCGCACGCGCTGCACTCGTAGGGCTTCATTCCCGTGTGAACCCGCTGGTGGCGAGCCAGGTACCACTTCCTGCGAAACCCTCTCCCGCACTGCGTGCATTTGTAGACGTGAGGAACCAGGGGGCCTTTTGGCGGTCCTGGTGGGTCAGGCTGGTGGAGAACAGCCCCCGGAGAGACTCTCCCCTCTAACGCCCCAGAGCGCAGACTAGCACCCGTTCCCAGACCCTCGTTTCCAAGGCTCATTTTCCTGAGGTGGGTCTCCTTGCGGGGGGCTGTCTGTGGCCTCAGCTGATCCCTCTCCACTTCCAGAATTCCCCCTGGATCCCTGGCCTGCCCCGACCTGGAGCACCTTGAAGATCCCAGAGTCAGGCTTCCCTGGAGCAAGGCTCCCTCGGACAAAATCAGCTGAGAAGTGCTTGGCTCTCCGGTCTGAGGTTCTGCTCTGTCACCTGAAGAGAATCCAACACACAAAGGGGCTGGTAGTGAAGCAACACACGAGAGAAAAAAGCAGCACTTCAGTGAACAAATGAGGGTACTTCCTGTGTTTTTACATTGATGTAATCTAGATTTCCAGTGACTTTTTATGATCCTCCTACCCTGACACCACTAGAGGGAAAATCCGGACAGTAGCCTGGGCCAGGACACAGAGGACCCGGAAGGGAGACTCCTCCCACAGCCCAGAGTAGGGGAGGGGGGCAGTCTTGATAATACAGTCCGGGGAGCATCCGTTCCAAGGACTGAGGTCCTGCTGCTATGAAAGCTTAGGGAAGTGACACCTAACAAGACTGGGAAGGAAAAGGTCAGCTTCCCTGGGAGGATCTCAAGAGCTGGGTCCTAATGGGAAGTCAGAGTCTCCAGAAAGAAGGGGCACTGGCTGAACAGGAAGAGGAAGCCTGGGCACATTCACCCTTGGAGACCATGTGAGACTTAACGACGAAAATGGCTGCCACGAGGCATCACCTCACACCAGTCAGAATGGACATCGTTAAAAGCCCACAAATGAGAAACGCTGGAGAGGGTGAGGAGACAAGGGAGCCCTCCTACACTGCTGGTGGGAATGTAAATTGGTGCAGCCACTGTGGAAAGCAGTATGGAGGTTCCTCAAAAACTGTACAAACAACTCTTACCGTACGATCCAGCAATCCCACTCCTGTGTATATAACCAAGAAAACTCTACTTTAAAAAGACACCTGCACCCCAATGTTCATGGCAGCACTATTTACAATAGCCAAGCCATGGACGCAAGCCAAATGCCTACTGACTGGATAAAGAAGCTGTGGTGTGTGTGTGTATGTGTGTATATATTACACACATATATACATACACACACAATGGATTACTACTCAGCCATAAAAAAGAATGAAATAATGCCATTTGTTGCAACATGGATGTACCTGGAGATTGTCATTCTAAGTGAAGTCAGACAAAGACAAACATCATATGATATCCCTTATATGTGGAATCAAAAAAAAAAAAGACAGCTGAACTCATTTACAAAACAGAAATAGATTCACGGACATAGAAAACAAACTTATGGTTACCAGGGAGGGAACGTGGTGGGAAGGGATAAATTGGGACTCTGGGATTTGCAAATACTAATATATATAAAACAGATAAACAACAAGGTCCTACTGTGCAGCACAGGGAACTCTATTCAATACCTCGTAGTAACCTACAATGAAAAAGCATATGAAAACAAATATATGTATGTATATGTACGACTGAAACATGATGCTGTACAAAAGAAACTGACACAACATTGTAAACTAACTATACTTCACTTTAAAAAGAAAAAGAAGGAAATGGCAGCAGGGAGGGTGTAGCTCAGTGGTGAGTGGGTGCTCAGCATGTACAAGTCCTGGGTCCAATCCCTCGTACCTCCATCGAAATAAATAAGTTAATTAATTAACGAATAAACCTAATTACCTCTCTCCACAAAGAAAATTTAAAAAATAAACCAAACCACTGCTTTTCTTGTTTTCATACTCACACATATTTAGAGCACTCTATTTTGTCGTTTTGGTTAAGAAAACTTAGCATTTCTTAAAGAAAACCAACCCCATTCAAGTTGTCTATTAATTCCGTCAGCTTCTATCTTTGTTATTCATAAATCTCTCCATACTGTTATGTTTTCCCCTTTTTTAATGACTGATGCAATATCCTAAACACAGGGATATTTTGGACTTATTACCTTGAGTGTAGTAAGAATGGCTTAAGAAAAAAAAAGAAAAAGAGAAAGTGAAGAAGCAGGTTCCCCAAGAAGGCAAAGGTATCAAGCAGGCTCCAGCAGAGGAAGTGGACGCGATCAGAGGAAGACGTCCTCTGTGGGGTGTGGGGGGACCACAGGGGAGAGACAAAGGTGAGTCTTCAAGGGCTCAGGAGCAAGACACAGAGGGACACAGCCTTTATTTTTGCTTATTTATTTAATGTCTTTGCAGGGGGACAGTTAGGCTTATTTACTTAATTCATCTGTTTAATGGGGGCACTGAGGATCGAACCCAGGACCTTGTGCACGCTAAGCACGAGCTATACCCTCCCCACGCCTTTATTTTTCTGATGCTGATTTTAGCTAAGACACCAGCGATGGAGGATCTGAGAAGAACTAGAATGTGTCTGGGTGGCCACAGGGGCAGGTGCAGGGACGACTGCTGATCAGAAGCATAGAACAGATGTGCAGAGACCTGGTGGAGACTCTGGCATCATCCGAGCAAAGGATGACGCAAGCCTGGAGGACGGTGTTGGTGATGGATTCAGGACACATGGACAACTCCCAACGGGCAGGGCTGGGGATGGACAGATGGAGGCAGAGACACTGTCTGAGGTGTTTCCAATGTGTTTTTGTTTGTTCGTTTGTTTGTTTTAAGCAGAGAAAGGTTTACTGCAAGGGTCAAGCAAGGAGGACAGGCGGGTCAGGTTCAAAAGACCCAAACTCCCAATCTTCTCATCTGTGCAGAAGGCAGGAGGTTCTCAGAACTGGGCATGGGGAGGCATGGGCAGGATCACGGGTGTCTTCTAAGGTCTGATGCACCTGAGGTGCCGCTGAGACACTAACATGGAGACTCGGGATTAAGGAAATGGGGGTGGAGGAGTGGCGACTGAAACAGAGGGCCTGCGGTGGAGCTGGCTGAAGACACTCACAGGCTGGCCGAGAAGCCGAAGGACCACTGGAGAGACTCACTCTGGATTATTCCAGTCACAGTCGGCAGCACGGATGTGGGGCCAAAAAAGCCAACATCTCCTTGGTGTCTTTTTGGGCAAGAGGGGCAGGAAGACTGTCCAAGGGGCTGCTTCTGAGTGTCTGATGGCAGACAGGAGGATGGAGAGATGGACGGAGAAGGTGGGCAAGGGCTCAGTACAGAGCACAGCATAGATCCTAACCTCAAGGGGAAGAGAGGCCTTTTCCTTCTGAGTCCAGAAGCTGAGGAAAAAAGGCACGACATCGCTGCCATTGCTGACGGTCCACACATCACACGGGTGCAGGGAGAACTGGCCTCTGCCGGCCTCTCCGAGAGGCCGGGCGCTGTCCTGAACGGCTTGCTGCATTGTCTCATCACAACTTCAACCAGCGCTCACCCAGAAACGATCCTCACTCTGACCTTCTGAGAACAGGGAGCGTACAGTAGCCTGAGGTCACAGAAACCAAGCCCACTGGCCCCCCGGGCACATGGCTACCCCGCACTCTCCAGTCCTGAGCACCCAGGTGCGGCCAAAGGCCCAGTTCTTGTCAGTGGAATTGCTGCGAGCAAAGTACAGGAGCGTCTGGGTGTGACCCCCGACCTCGCTTCCCCTCCACCTGCTGGATGGAGCCGGACTGACCTTGAAGCTAGATGATGATGGTGGAAGGTGCCTGGGTCTCTAAGTAATGGCATGGGCCAGAGCTGACCTGCTGATACACACGATCCTTTGATGTGAGAGAACAACCAGACTCCGCAAAGAGTTCCTTCCAGAAGGTGAGAGGCTCGGGTCCTCGTGCGTTCCAAAGGCTGCCCTGAACCCACTGTCCCGGCGAGCTCCCGGTTCCTACCTGAACATGTGCTCCGCGAGAGGCCCCTCGTGACTGTCCATACCTTCGGCCCGGGCTCCAGCAGGTGCATCAGCTCTGCTTTGGGAACTGGATGCCCTGTTGATGGAGGAAGAAACAGCATGTAAGTGTTTGGATGAGAAGAATGAAAACCCCTCCACTCTGTCTGGTACTTCAGGACAGAAGTGAGACCGTGAATGCAGCTGCCCCCTAAGGAAAGAACATGTTGACGGGTGACCTGGAAACCAAGGGCAATAATACCACTCCTGGGCCACATCTGCTGTCGAGGGCGGTGCTGTCTGTCTACACAACACCGCTGCCCTTGAACTTTATCGGGGGAAGCCGACCCCATGCAGGTGCACGTGGCTCTCACACAACCCCGGGACGCTGGGATGGTCAGCCCTCCATCCAGGACATGCTCCTAACTCACCTAAGTCACTGGTCCTCAAACACCTTGTGCTTCACAACTCCCCATGGATGCCCAATCCCAACCTCAAACCAAAAGAAACAGAACTTCTCAGGGTCAGACCTCGGCATCGCTATTTCTGAAATCTCCCCAGGAGATTCTCACGCCCAGAGAGGACTGAAGTCCATTGATGGAAATAAATCGGCCAACGGCATCCCCGGTCATCAGTCATCTGAAGGAGGCAGGTGACCTCAGCTGGCCTGTCTTCTGAAGAGAGTCTTTAACCCAACGTGGGACAAGAGGGCTGAAGACGGGGTCTCTGCAGCATCCTCTACCCCCACCGCAAAGCTGGCCTGAGGAAGAGGGGGACGCCGGCCCCGGGAGAAGAGCAGCAGAACCTTCGCGCCACTGATGATGTAGCTGCTGCTGTGGGGGCCCTGGGGCTTGTCCTGAGTTGAGGTGGTAAATTCCCACCCAATGGGGAAGCCACTCCAAGTCACTTTTCTGTTACATGCAGCCAAATGCATCTCAACAAAGATGGAGGGGGGGTCTGTACCGAAGCCCAGGGACTGAGGTTCCAGGAGCCACCCAAGTCTCAACTGGCAAGTTCTGATTCTCAGCCCAGGATTCACTCCAACAGGTCACAGTACAGGTCACCAATGTGTGCTATGTGCCGGACACCACGCTCAGGGAGCAGGCAGAGGAAAGGTGAATCGGCCGCGAACTGTGCACTCTCTCCCCTCAGGGCCTATTCTCCTGCTGGTTCCTCCACCTGGAACCTCTCCTCACCCTCCCTCCCAATGCTCAGCCTTCCAGTCTCAGATCCAGCATCACTGCCTGAGATGCCTTTTTCGAATCATCCATGATAGGTTATGGCCTGGATATACACTCCTGAATTCCTTATTTTTCTTTCTACAACTCATCACACTTCATCTCAGGTTTGATGTCTATAGATAAACAGCAGGTTTCTACTGTACAGCACAGGGAACTATGTTCAATATCTTGTATTAACTTATGATGAAAAAGAATATGAAAGGAATATATGTATACATATGACTGAAACATTATGCTGTACACCAGAAATTGACACATTGTAAACTGACTACACTTAAATTAAAAAAAAAAAAGAAATATCTACACAAAACCTGCAAAAAAAACCAAAAGCAAAAACCGATGTCTGCCTCCACAATGAAACTCAGTGTCACGGGTCTGCAAAGCACACACAGTGATGGATGGCTTCTCTTTAAACTGACCCCTTTTTAAAATTTTTCCTGAACAGCTGAGAACACTTCTTCGCTTTGGTAAATGAGCAAAGTCAATTTCACTTTCCATAAATGGAAATTTACCATCAAAATACAACAATGAAATCAAAACAATGCCATTAAATGGTAGGGGTGGGGGAGGTACAGCTCAGTGGTAGAGGGCATGCTTAGCATGCACCAGGTCCTGGGTTCAATCCCCAGTGCCTCCATTAAAAATAAAGAAATAAATAAACCTAATTCCCTGCCTCTCCCAAAAATGGCTGAGTAAAGAAAATACTAACATTATTCTTTTTTTAATGCCATTTAAGGCCCCAGGGAGTTCATGTAGACTGCTCAGGGCTGTGAGCTGAGGCTGTTCCTTCCTTGAAAAGAAAACTTAGCCACCATTAGGGGACATGGAATCCTACCCACTCTCACTAATTTGAGACTTTCTCCTGACAATGATCAGCATGTGAGACAGAGAAGGTGAAAGGACTGGCTTTTGCAGGGGATATCCCGTGGCCTCTCCTACACTCCTGTGCACCTTCCAAATCACCTCCTGCCCAGTGGAGGGTCACGGCCCAGTGTCAGAAAATGTGGTAACAATATTAGCACTTCTAATCGAGACTGTGCTGTTCAGAAGATCCCTGAGTGGCACCAGTGACAAATGACAAGCAAGGGTCTGCCTGACTCACCCTCCCTTCTGAGAACAGCCCATCATCCACGGCCCCTGTAACAGAGCTGTGAGACCTGACCCACCAGGCTGGTCCAGTCAGCTTCCCTCCTGTGGAACCTGGAACGGGGACCTCAGACTGAGGCCTGGGTGTGCTGAGCACTAGGATGAAGGCTGGTGTTCAGAAGGAAGTTGTCTCTATCACACTAATCCCTGAAACAGACTCAGGGAGACCAGAAAACTGCAGGGCCTGTGGGGAGGAGGGAATGTGACTCCTGTGACCCTCTTGATTGGCCAGGAAACAAGAGGAGGCTGCAGTCCCCCTCAGGTGTAAGACATGAGCACTTACCCAGTGACACCAGGAGCCCACAGGTCTCCAGCATCACCTCCCGATACAGGGTCCTCTGGTCCAGGTCAAGTTGCCCCCACTCCTCCTGGGTAAAAGTCACGGCCACATCCTTGAAGGTTACCAACACCTGGAGAGTCAAACAAAGGTCATGGGATTGGCCCTGTGCCCTCGGATGAGATCAAGCTTATTACTCAGGTGCTGGTTAGGGTGCAGGGACTCAGGCCTGAATCACCGAGGCCTCCTGAGGGCCAAGCTCTGTGCGGGACTCAGGGTGGAGGTGGAAGCAGCCTTTGGATATAAGGCAACTGTGGCTGAGAGAAAAGCCTCCCCTAGGGGAATCTACCAGCAATGACACAGACAGCGGTGTTCTGTGAGGACGGTGGAGGGGCAGAAGGTAAGTGCTCTGGGAAAAATATTCATGAGGGCAATTCCGACAATGGTCACAGCAGAGGCAACAGCTGAGCCGCCCTGGTCCTCGCTGTGCACCTGTCCCAGGCTGAGGGCTTCACATGCTCAGGTAAAGTGACTAAAGCTCCCTGGCTCTGGAGCCAGAATTCCAGGGTCTGAATCCAGGCTCTTGAATCTGACACTGCTGACTGTGTGACCCTGGGGAGGACATCCCACCATTTCTCTCAACATCCATTTCTGCACCAATACAGGAAACAATTCCCACTATGCCAATTCTGAGAACTAAAGAGAAAGTGTTCACACAGCAGATGCTGGCACAGCTCAATGTATCTTGTGAATTTTTTTCTAATCCTCTGCCAGCCCCTGAGCTAAATGCCAAAATCACCTGCGTGTCACAGTCGGAGGCCTGAGGGTCAGGCAGCTCTAGAAAGTCACCCACAATCTCAAATTTAAGAAACAGAAGTGGACACGGAATTGAACATTCAGCAAAATCCAGAACACAGTTGTCAGAGTTGTCACATGGGCAGGTGGGGGCCAGGGGTACCTCGGCCAGAACTGACAGCCAGGAAAAAACTATCCAAAGAGGTGATACTGATGCACAGGAAGAGTGAGGAGAGACAGCCCTGCAGAGACCTAAGAACAGGGCCCCACACAAAGGAAAGTGCAAGGGCAAAAGCCGTAAACTGGGGAGGAGTTTGGCAAGTTCAGGACCTCCTGGCCAGGTGCAGTGAGCTGGCTAAGAATGGAAAGGAAAAAGGCCTGGAGGCAGGCAAGGGGCACAGCCAGCAGAGCTCTGTGGGTCCCGCTTGGGAGGAAGATTGTATTTATTATAAGTGTGATGAGACCACCTGCTGGGGAGACCCAGTCATTCATTTAACCATTTGTTGAGTACCTTTTACAAGCCTAGGTACTCACAATCCCGGGCTAGAAAGAGATCCTAAACAAGCAACTAAGTAAACGAGCAAGACAATGTCAGAGGGACCTAAGATGCCAAAGTCAAGAAAATAGACTGAGAAAACTAAAGAGGTTACAGTCTGCTGTAGATGGGGCACTGGAAAAGGCCTCTTTCAGGACAGCACACTGGAGTGAGTCTGAAATAAAGTGAGGAGGGGAGCCACGTGGACGGGAGATTAACAAATCAGACAGGTCCCGACAGTCAATGAGGACTAGGATGAGGGTACTCAGGGTGACGGCTATGGACTTACCCACGACCTGCTGTGCTTTCGTGTCCAGACGGACACCACACTCCTACACACTGTCCTCAATGACCATCTGAGTGGACTCACTTACCAACATAAGTGAATCTCAACAGGAAAACAGATTCACGACTGTCAGTGGGAAGCCAGTTCACCTGCTCTAACCTGAAAGATAAAATTCCCTGGCCTTCCTGGCCCCCAGCCTGTCCTGACACCTATTCTGTCCTAGCAGAACCGCAATAACCAAACTGCTGCAGGCTACTCCTGGCTCTTCCCCTCCCCAGCTCTTATCTTCGTAGAGATTACAGGACAGAGAAGCCCAAGGGTCAGATTCCCCCGGAGATGGGCCGCTAAGATCAGTGTAGGCCCAGGAGGCACTTCCGCGGAGAAAGAGCCAGAGCGATGCTCCCTGGACTGTGCTGGACACCAGGGAACACACCACCCACGTCCCTTTTCTAGTTCCCTTAACCCAGGTGCAGGAACTTTAATCTTCCTATTTTATAACGGAGTAAAGAGAAGCCAAGGCAGCAGGGGAAGGTGCTCGAGGTCACAGCCTCGGGAAGGAACGTAGCCGCAACACACAGAAAGGTCTCGGAAATGTCCGGCCTGCGCTCCTCCCCGCGGGTCGCTCCACGCAAGCGGGAGGGATTCCACACGGCATGCCGCTGACTGTCAGAAACGACCCTCCCCCTGGAGGCCCTGGGCTGGACTCCGACCTGGAGCACAAGGGACCCCTCCGGAGGCGCGACGAACAGCGTCCTGGAGAGCACACGGCGAAGAGTCCGGGACAGCGCCGGCCGCGCAGCAGAGCGCCT